TTTTCAAAAACGAATTTCAAGATACCTATCTCTGAACATCTAAGTAATAATGGAGAAAAGTATTTATGTTTTTACTTTATTATATTGAATATTAATTGTTTTCCAGGCTGAGGCCATGCATGTAGTAATTTTGTCTTTTGTCTTCTGACACTTTGTGAACCCTACAACTCTTTGATCTAACATGATTTCATGTTCAGGTGCCTTATAGAATTTCCCTCAGTTTATTGCAAAGTTTACAAAATCTTCCAACTCTACTCATCACTAAATTTTCTCGTCATAGATCAATCAAATTTAGATCGGTTTTTGTTAGAAATGTTCATATTTGGCAGCATTGATCAGATGTGTACATATGTTGGTACTAGGGTGATATATATCCAGTAAAGCAACTGATTTTATGTGAAAGCTCTGGAATTTGAAATGAGTTTATCATTGTTTACATTTTTTTTTTGTGTACAAGTGTTACGGCAGGGAATGTATGTAATTACTCATGGGTTACCTTCTTCATGCTATATATCATATAATTCCCGTATTAAGGATCATTTCTTGTAACCAAATATTCATATTTAAACGTCTGATATGCCTGGTATACATAGGGAAATACTTTAACTGCAATTGTTTACTGACCGGCGATTTTGCCGTCTGCCATTTTGTGGGGAATGAAACGTTGATTTTATCTCTCTTAATACCAATTCATCCCCTGGACAATTGATCTAATATTGTATTTTTAATACCACACATTTAATATTTTATGGATATACCCTGCCGGACAAAAATATATTGTAAATATTTAGATGGTTGTGATGATCTATGTTTTTATGTTATTTACTTATATGTACTTGCGAATATCGTCTGCTAAATTAATGCGCACGCAGTGGTGTCCGATTGCATATTTCAAGCTATTTTATTGATATTATGAGCTCTATTGTTTAGTTTTAATGTTTTATTTTAAAGGACAATCATAGGACAACTCAAGATGATTTCAATTCTATGTTTTTCAATATCGTAATTTTGTATAGTTCCGGCTACCCGGAAAGGACAAGTAACCATTGGATTAGTATGTCACGTGACACTTACAATTTAGTATATAAACGCGTGAGCATTCAGTAATGGCAGATAGCCCAAAGTTTTGCTGGCGGCAAGTTTGAACCTAGAAAACAATAAATTTCCAAATAAAGCAGTAATAACCTTTAGGTGAGAATTAGGATAACATAATGAAGTTTAAATAGCCGTCTTTTGTACAGTAAGCTATCTCCCACCACGTCGGACACCACAAATATGTATTTTAGGATTTATTATTCAGTATACTTGAACGCTATTGTTTATTTATATAAAATTATATAATGTTATATGATTTTTTTTAACAGTTCAGCAAATAAAACTGTTAGCATTGAAAAGATCACTTAATTTTATCAAACTTGGATACATTCAAAAAGTATATGCACTTACACTGGTAAAACAACTTGAGCTGGAGGACGCTCGTTCGAAATTTAAACTATGGAAAGCCGTTAGCAACACAAATAGCACAGTAACAAATAAATACAAAGGAAGCCGTTTAATACACATACATTAACCAAACAGAGGAACTATATTTAAACACAAACTGAGGTGCTCCGGGGAGCAGATACTGCATTTTATGAGTGTTCGTATGTAAACTGCCCAGTATAGGACAGGATACTCTCGGGTGGCTTACAATTTGGTGTCAGAAGTGGGATGCTAAAATTCTAATTAGCATCCAGGATACGAACCTTGGAATAACCTGTCAACTTAACAATGTGGTTTAAGCCCGACGTGGTGGATTTACTGTACAAAAATTAATTATAACTAAAAAAATATGAAACAACAAATAAAATTAAAAGTCTTTATTTAGAATATGGCTGATGCTGGTAGGAACTCCCCAGACCCTGAAATAAATTTCCGTAGGGAAAGGGATTTAGATGACATAGGACAAGGGGACCAAATACATACTGATGACAATGACGACTTTGATAGGGAATCTTTTTTACAAGGTCATGGTGATGAAATAGCTCAGAGACCTAAAGGACGGGATGAATATCAGAGACATGATTTTGATGATATGAATGATAGGGGTAATCATAACATGCAACCAATTGGCCCACCAAAGGTAACACTTAAACCTGAACCCTTCTCTGGTAAGGATTGTTGGGAGGAATACTTGTCGCATTTTGAGGACTACGCTGAACTGGGACAATGGGGGAATCGTACAAAGCTAGCCTGAGGGGTCAAGCAAGGACATACTACATGAGCTTGTCTCCTGACGACAGGCGCACATACGAAATGCTAACACAAAAGTTAGATCAAAGGTTTGGGAGTTCAAAACACAAAAATCGTTGGCTCTCAAATTTAAAGATGCGCAGGCGCATGCCAGGGGAAAGCATAGCTGAAGTGGGGATGACATAAGGCAACTAGCGCAAAAGGCGTACTATGATCTCGACTTAGCAGCGCAGGAGTCTCTAGCATTAAACCAGTTGTTTAAGGTAATACCTGTAGAAATGAAATGTCGCTGTATTGACAAGGAATGTCAAACAATAGCAGACGCTGTTGATGTTATAGAAAGATATGAGTCAATACTTGGGGATGGAGACAAAAAGAAATCAACAATCAGAGCTGTGGAGTCGAAGGACATCGAAGGACACATGAGTGAAAAGGATTATCAGAGCAATTTACAGGCTTTACAAGATAGGATAGCAAAGCTGGAACAAGGACATGGGAATCGGGACACAAAGAGGGCAAATACTGGCAGATGTTACAGTTGCAACTCACCAGAACATTTTATGAGGAACTGTCCACACAAAAACAACCACAGAGCAAGAGGGAACTTCCAGGGCAACCAAAGACACAACACCTCTTTTAATAATAACCAGGGAAACGACAGAACGCTGGCTCAATAGGTCGTGAGTTAGTGACAGAAGATAAAAGGCCTGATATAAAGGGAGAAAAACATGTCCGGACAGAACATATAGGGGAAACAGATGATAATTGGGATAATGGGTTTTATACAAATGGGTTAATCTATGGGTTTCCTGTCAACTTTTTAATTGACAGTGGCTCAACAGCGTCAATATTATCTATTGAGGTTTACGAAAAATTGCCTTCAAATGTTTGGTGTTCTTTAGTACCAAACAATTCCGAAGTATTTGACGTTAATGGCAACAAAGTTTTTGCTATTGGATCAATCAAATTAGAACTAAAGCTTGGTCTAGAAATTTTCAGTCAAAATTTTATGATATGTAATATAAATCAGGATGGAATACTTTGACAGGATTTCTTACTTAAGGAAGTAAGTAAAGTTAATTATGGTCTAACAAACGATCCATAACCAGGAAATACAATGTTGGATTGGAGGGAAGGCAAATATGATTTGCAGAGTAGAAATTAAAGACAACATGACAATTCCTCCAATGACGAGTACTATGATGCCTGTAGAAATACCGGGTGTAAATCATTTAACAGAATACGGATTAATAGAGGGCTCGACAGGAACAGCAAAGTCTACATTAGCAATACCTGGGATTATAAATACAAAAGATCAAGCACACTTTGTTAATGTTGTCAACTATGGTGACGACGAAGTTAAACTGTATAAAAAGGAAACAATAGGAACATGTGAATCATATACTGAGCATGATTTGAAATCAGAGCAGATTAGAACACTACAAGAAGATTGCTTTACAGCTAGTGAAGAAATACCAGAACATCTTATTGACTTATTAAAAAGGATTTCAACTTATTTAAATGAGGACCAAATACAACAGCTTTCCAGACTCCTTTCGCAGTACCAAAATGTCTTTTCACGGACAGATGATGACATAGGGAGGACAGACCTTGTAACACATAGAATAAATACAGGAAATGCAATACCCTTTAGGCAAAGATCTAGACGTATGCCACTTGGAAAGCAAGAGATGGAAAAATCAGAAGTCAACCGGATGTTGGACAAAGGAATCATTGAACCATCTTCTAGTCGTTGGGCATCGAATATTGTCCTTGTAATGAAGAAAAATGGCAGCCCTAGGTGCTGTGTTGATTACAGAATTTTGAATGACGTCACTAAAAAGGATTCCTACCCGATTCCGAGGGTAGACGAGTGCCTAGACTCGCTCGCTGGGGGAAAATTCTTCGGGTCAATGGACCTAAAATCAGGATTTTGGCAAATTGGCATGGCTCCCGACGACAAGGAAAAGACCGCATTTCTGACAAGTTTAGGGTTATATCAATTCACTGTCATGCCCTTTGGACTTGCAAATTCACCATCTACTTTTGAGCGTCTTATGGAAAATGTTATCAGAGGGCTACAGTGGAAAGAACTATTACTCTAAATGGACGATATCATATCAGTAAGTTCAACATTTGAAGAGGGTCTTGGAAGGTTAGAAAGAATCTTTATACGCCTACAAAATGCACATCTAAAATTGAAACCTGCCAAATGCATTTTCTTTCAAAAACAAGTCAGGTTCCTTGGACATATCGTGTCTGAGGATGGAATTTCCACCGATCTAGAGAAAACAAAAGCTATAGATGACTGGCCAATCCCCAAATCTGCAAAACAGGTGCGCAGCTTTTTAGGACTTTGTTCTTACTATAGGCGATTTGTTAAGGGATTTGCAGCAATTGCAAGACCAATGCACAAAATTTGCGAAAAGAATAGCCGTTTTGCTTGGAATGACGAGTGTCAAAAGGCATTTGAACAGTTGAAAAATGCTTTAACAAGTACACCTGTGCTTGCCTACCCTCTTCCAAATTTGCCATTCATACTTAACACAGATGCAAGTGATAAGGCTGTCGGAGCAGTTTTGTCACAAATTCAAGATTGTCTTGAACGAGTTATAGCATACATGAGCAAATCTATGAACATACACGAGCAGGCATACTGTGTAACTCGAAAAGAGCTACTTGCTGTAATTATAGCACTAAAGACATTTCATCATTATCTATATGGCCAGGAAGTTTTGCTGCGCACAGATAACGCAGCTGTATCATGGATGAAAAATCTAAAGAAACCCACTGGTCAAACAGCCAGATGGCTCGAAGAACTGGGAACTTACAGTTTGACAGTGACACACAGGGCTGGAAGGAAACACTCAAATGCCGATGCTCTGTCCAGAAGACCTTGTAAATCATGCGAGAAACAAGAATCTGGAAACCACACAAGTGACGATGAAACAGACGAAATTCAACTTGAAGAATCTGATTTTGTTAACCAGGAGTTACATGAAAACGAGGAGCCAACACCAACAATAGAAATAGTACGAATATGTACAAGAAGTCAGACAGGAAATCAGTCTAGTGCTACACCAAGTGGCTATTGCATAGAAGGATGGGACCCTGACAGTATTAGACAATGCCAATTGGAAGACCCAGACATGTCACTCATTGTGACATATCTTCAAGAAAAGAAAAATAAACCTGACTGGGGCCAAGTATCAAAAGGAACATCATACCAGAAAACAATATGGCGACAATGGGATAGGCTGACAATAAACTATGGCATGCTTTATAGAAAATTTTATTGTTCTGATAAAGACGATGTAGACAACTTCAAATTGCAGCTCCTGGTACCAAAATCACACCAAAAGACAGTCTTTAAGTATTTCCATGACGTTCCATCTGCAGCTCATTTAGGACCAGATAAAATGCTAATTAGGATCCAGCAGCTCTTTTACTGGCCAGCTATGAGAAGCTCAATAACAAGGTACTGCAAAGAATGTGACCAATGTGCTGCTAGGAAATCACTTAAACGAAACAAGGCTCCATTAGGTCAATACTTGGTTGGCGAGCCTATGGAACGTGTTGCGATTGATATTCTTGGTCCACTTCCGTTAACAAAACGACAAAACCGTTATGTTCTTGTCCTTTGTGACTGCTTTTCTAAATGGACTGAAGCATATGCTATTCCGGACCAGGAATACCTGACCATTGCCCGTACCATCGTGAATGAATTTATTTGTAGGTTTGGTTCACCATTTCAGCTTCACTCTGATCAAGGAAGGTCTTTTAAAGCAAAGCTGTTCCAAGATCTGTGTGATCTCCTGAAAATTGACTAGAAGTACAAGTCAACACCCCCAATCTAATGGAAGCGTTGAAAGATTTAACAGGACACTGCTAAGCATGCTAACATTTTATTGTCAAAATGATCAGAGAAACTGGGATGAGATTTTGCCACAGGTTATGATGGCATACAGATCATCAGTCCACGCCAGCACAGGACAGACCCCTAACATGATGATGTTTGGCAGAAACATATTTCTTCCTATGGATTCTGTTATTCCACGTCCTAATGGACCAGATGAATCCACTACCCCTGAAACGGATAAATATATAAATGAATTACAGGACGCTATGTTAAAGTCACATGTACTGGCTAGGAAACATCTTAAGCAGAATTCTGAGTATTAAAAACGTCACTATGACTTGAAAGCAGTAAAGCGCGCATTACAAATAGGTCAAGCTGTAAGGCTTTATGATGCATCAAAGAGAAAAGGAATTTGTCATAAGTTGACATTAAAATGGAAAGGACCATATGTTGTCACAAGGAAAATTGATGACATCACTTACCTTGTGAAAAGGTCAAAGAAACAGCCAGGGAAGGTCTACCACATCGATAGACTACTGCCCTATCAAGGACGAAATCCGCCTACTTGGTTCTCCAGTAGGAAGGCCTGAGATGCCTTTCATAGTTGTTGTTTGAATAGCCGAAATTAGTTGTACAAGTTGTTACGTTTTTAATTGTTTTGATGAGTTACTATGTTTAAGAGTAACTGTCTGACTTATCTCAGACTGGAGAAAGTCATGTTGGAATTCCTAGAGTTGGATCCACTCTGGAAGAATATGTAAGGGAGACAAATGGCCATTGTTTCTCAGGACATATTATTGGCTGTAAGGGAAGGATGATCCTTCCTGCCAGGGGAATGGCAGATTAAACTGTACTGCCAAGCGTTTTATTGTATGTGCAAGCTGCGCGGCGGAAAGCAATTAACGACAACTTTTTGTCTTGAGGAGGCTTGAGATTTTTTTTTAATAGGGAGATCAAGGGGTGGATATCATATTTTTATTGAAATGTAGGCTCATCCATTTACTACCAGCCTATGCCATATGGGGGGAGGATTTTAAACACATAAGCAAATATAGTCACACAACAGCACACTACATACATATCTTTTGTTGTATATGCTATATAAATGGTGGAGGGATTTTAAAGATTTGATTCGATTTCAGAATGAGACCATCATCACAAGTGGAGGTGATGTGTTGGCTGTGTCCCATGACGTTTAGGACAAGGAGACAACTAAAGAACCATCTGGCAGCTGCCCCACACAAACGGCTTTCAGTCGTTTGTGTTTGGTGTCCTGAAGAGAAGTCGTACAGGAGGATGGTTGACCTGAAGGAGCACATCATGGCCTACCATCGCAGCAAAATAGAGATAATGCCGTACAGTTTCTTGAGTGAGAACAATGGGTTTTGGATGTCGAATTACCCAGAGACATATGCAAAGGTAATCTCACCATCAAATGAAAACTCCCAAGAGGCCATGAAAGCCAGGATTGAGGTCCTAGAATTCCTAAACAGGGTTGGAAACACCAACAGGAAGAAGGAGGATTGGACTCAAGGCTGGAAGTGTCCTAGGGAAATGGTTAGAGGTACGCAGGAGGAAGAGGTTGAGCAGGAGAAAACCAATGGGTCATATTCACCAACACGCCCTAACCATCTATGAAGGGCTGGCCCTCCAGCAACTTACATTAGGACTTGGGGATTCGACAGCCATCTTCAAATTAGACCTTGGAGTGTCTATACGATTCTATCAGATAAGTTTGAATGACTTGGTTCTAAGAGATCACAAAATGCTTGATGCTTTAATAAGGAGGATGACGGCACTGGTAAACACCAAGTATGCAGGATCAAATACCTTCTCTGCCTCGATAGACGGTAAACTAAAGTCTATAGTGACGCCGGTAGTAGCTAGGAAACTATTCATATCAGAGGAATATATAGCAGACATAAAAACGTCTGATGAACTCTTCCCAGGGAAACAGACAAAAGCCATCACAAATCCGTTATCACCACTTAAAACACCATCAACCTCAGATATTATATTGGAAGATGACAGCGACAATGAAGAACCAGAGATTCTGAACGAGAAAGCAACAAGCCAGAAGAAAAGTAAGAAGACAGAGAAGGAAGGAGAGAAAAATGGAACAGAAGGCTAAGAAAATAAAGCAAGGAAAGGGTGACAAGGAACAGGACGAGGAAATCAGACTTAAAGAGGAAGAACAAAGGAAGCAGGAAAAACAAAAACAGGATGAGGAAATGAGACGAAAGGAGGAAGAACAAAAGAGAAGGGAAGAACAGAAACAGGAGGAAATTAGACTGAAGGAGGAAGAACAAAAGAAGCAGGAAAAACGAAAACAGGACGAGGAAGTCAGACTAAAGGAGGCAGAACTAAAGAGAAAGGACAAACAGAAACAGGAGGAGGAAATCAGACGGAAGGAGGAAGAACAAAGGAAGCAGGAAAAACAAAAACAGGATGAGGAAATGAGACTAAAGGAGGAAGAACAAAAGAGAAGGAAAAAACAGAAACAGGACAAAGAAGAAAGGTTGAAGGAGGAAAAGAGGATACAAGAAGAAAAACACAATGAAGAAAGTAAAAGAAAGGAACTGGAAGCATCAGAAGATCGGGGCACAGATTGTACAACTCTAAACGGCAACATTACCGCAAGTGAACGGGCAAGGACATTTCTGAGGAAAGGTGGCATGCCACTTTTCCCAGCTGGGAGAAGGGAGTGGAATCAAGAAGAAGTCATCCCACTGATTACCCTCCCAGCAGTTGTTAGTTGGCCACCTAAAAATTGGAAGAAAGATGACTCCAGAGCAAAAGTATTTTAATTGGGAGTATGCCAGTATTGCTCTGGAGTTGAACTCGCGAAAGCAATTACAATTCACAAAGGAAGAGTTGCTACTCAAGTATCACTTTTTAGCATTACCAGGCACAAAAACACCGACAGGAAGTGAAGAAAACACAATGATTTTTTTACAATTGTGGCAGAAATCCACAATACTTATTACTATGATCACAAGTCAAAATTCAAGCTTTCACCAAATATTATCTTTTAAACTTAGCGGTTGTGTTTTTACGCATAGTAACTTGGCTCGCAGCGAGCAAGCGAAACATTTTACATTTGTAATCAAAGATGTGGCATTAATTTACTATTTTTATGGATTTCACAGGCCAAAGTTTCACTTTTTGCCAATAAATTACAGGGGGAGGCATTTCATTAGCCAAAACATAGTTTTACAAGTTAGGTGTGTACATGTGTTGGTACTAGGGTGATATATATCCAGTAAAGCAACTGATTTTATGTGAAAGCTCTGGAATTTGAAATGAGTTTATCATTGTTTACATTTTTTTTTGTGTACAAGTGTTACGGCAGGGAATGTATGTAATTACTCATGGGTTACCTTCTTCATGCTATATATCATATAATTCCCGTATTAAGGATCATTTCTGGTAACCAAATATTCATATTTAAACGTCTGATATGCCTGGTATACATAGGGAAATACTTTAACTGCAATTGTTTACTGACCGGCGATTTTGCCGTCTGCCATTTTGTGGGGAATGAAACGTTGATTTTATCTCTCTTAATACCAATTCGTCCCCTGGACAATTGATCTAATATTGTATTTTTAATACCACACATTTAATATTTTATGGTTATACCCTGCCGGACACAAATATATTGTAAATATTTAGATGGTTGTGATGAACTATGTTTTATGTTATTTACTTATATGTACTTGCGAATATCGTCTACTAAATTAATGCGCACGCAGTGGTGTCCGATTGCATATTTCAAGTTATTTATTGATATTATGAGCTCTATTGTTTAGTTTTAATGTTTTATTTTAAAGGACAATCATAGGACAACTCAAGATGATTTCAATTCTATGTTTTTCAATATCGTAATTTTGTATAGTTCCGGCTACCCGGAAAGGACAAGTAACCATTGGATTAGTATGTCACGTGACACTTACAATTTAGTATATAAACGCGTGAGCATTCAGTAATGGCAGATAGCCCAAAGTTTTGCTGGCGGCAAGTTTGAACCTAGAAAACAATAAATTTCCAAATAAAGCAGTAATAACCTTTAGGTGAGAATTAGGATAACATAATGAAGTTTAAATAGCCGTCTTTTGTACAGTAAGCTATCTCCCACCACGTCGGACACCGCAAATATGTATTTTTAGGATTTATTATTCAGTACACTTGAACGCTATTGTTTATTTATATAAAATTATATAATGTTATATGATTTTTTTTTAACAGTTCAGCAAATAAAACTGTTAACATTGAAAAGATCACTTTATTTTATCAAACTTGGATACATTCAAAAAGTATATGCACTTACACTGGTAAAACAACTTGAGCTGGAGGACGCTCGTTTGAAATTAAAAACTATGGAAAGCCGTTAGCAACACAAATAGCACAGTAACAAATAAATACAAAGGAAGCCGTTTAATACACATACATTAACCAAACAGAGGAACTATATTTAAACACAAACTGAGGTGCTCCGGGGAGCAGATACTGCATTTTATGAGTGTTCGTATGTAAACTGCCCAGTATAGGACAGGATACTCTCGGGTGGCTTACAATACGTTTTCAAGTAGTGAAAGTTTGTAACAATTATATAATTTGTTTAAATATTTTGTTTGGTGTATTCTAAAACGGGACATGTATGTCCTTAGCATATGTCAACAATGGAGGTATGTCACTAGCGCGGTCAAAAGATAAATGAGTATGGTGATTATCGTTAATTATAGAATTGAGTGTTAATGGTAGATAATTGATGCTTTCTTCAAATACTATTCACCTTTTTATGGACAATTATCTTGAATTAATGTTTTGTTTTAAGAATTTGTTGGCAATTAAAGATAAAAGGTGGAGGCTACCTTCAGTCTAAAAACGTTCAGAACAGTTCAACAAGGTATATTCCATACGATAAACCAGGAACAAGAAGAGAACTATGCTATATATATGATATAAAACCTCCTCGTCATTGCATTGGACACCTGTACATCTGATCCTTTAAGACTCTCATCAAGACTTACTAGATCTTAGAAAATATAAGTGTTTTTAGGAGGCTGGTCTGATTCGTATCCTGAAAATGGGTCCCCGTCTCTGGCTTCTGGAATAGAGTCATATGAATTGAGTGTTTATGAAATGGAATCAAGTTTGACAGTACTGATGAGAGACCGAACTGTAATTGGAAAACCAGTAATAGTAAATTCTAATGAAACTTCACTTGAAATTGACTTACCAGACAAAAACCCTTTGGTATATGCCATTTCACTTGTAGTGAAAGACAAAGTAAACAATGTCCGACATGTTTTTGTATGACAATTCGTCAAAATTTCACCATGACGATCATAAAAACTATATTAGTTACAACTGCTACAAATAAAACTAGATTTTTATGGCAAGTTAATCACAAACAACTATGTTTTTCATGGAAAGGTCGATTTTACAACGATGGATATAAAAGATACAACCCACTTCTCCCGATAAAACCAGAGGCGTATGACGCAGTTAAAGGATAGTATGAACAAATATCTGTCTCCCTTCCAGTGAATGGAACAACCAACATAAACGGTATAACCGGTTTTGATTATTCACTATATAGGAATAATGTTACTAAATTATCAGGAAGAATTAATAATATTACATAAGAATCCATTTGTCTTAATTCCTTGAAGAACGATGGGGATACATTGATACTTTACCTTCAGGCCAGGGATATAATGAACAATACCCTAAATGACAGTGCTATGGTATATATAGATAGATCCGTTCCAGAAATACAAGATGTAGGGATAACAGATAGACACTAACACAAGCAGCTGTACGTTCATTACAGCAAAAATTTATCAACGATGTCCATCCAATTCAGGGCCTACGATATACACAGCGGACTAAAGGAAATTAAATAGGCATTTGGTATACATGAAAATAAAACCATTTTGATAGAAAAAGCACTTGCAGTTACTGATCTCGAAATGGTACGTTTATATTTCTTTATTTTTTTATGTTTCCCTTTTTCCTACATGGATGCAACCACGATTGATACATCATAAGTGAGAAATGTGCAGTCATATTGAATTACTGAAATCAACATGTTCGATTACCAAAATGTATTCCTATGTTTATGCTGAATAAAAGGAATGAATGCATTAGAGCTCGGAAAATGAATAAAGTTACAAATAATACAACGATTCCGGGTATTTTCATGTCAAAACATGAATTGTAAATATGATTATTGAAACCAATTATCCCATTTCAGATTGCTGGTAATTTTAACTATAATTTCATTTTAAGCTCTGCATAAATTCTTTTTGTTTTGTTTTGTTTCTAAGGGTGGAGGTGGCCTTGAATATTTATTTCCTTTAAGTCACCATTAATTGGTATTTTAAGATGGTATGCATCTTGCGTAATCATCAGAATAAACGTATTAGACTTTTATCAAATATTGCCTAAATCGGTCTTTTTATTTTTTAGGGTAACTGTAGCATGGAATCAAATTGTTATTGTCCAAAAATTGGAAAATGTGCTCTCACAACATATATAGCTGATTTGAAAAAAAAACTTAAAACTTATAACAGACATATAGGAGACCATAATCGCCGTTACTTCTTAACATTAAAAGTAACAAACAAAGCTGAACTTATTGCAGTAAATCACTTAGATATTCTTATAGATGATTCCCCACCGGCAGTTGGTGTTGTTTCAGAAGGCCCAATTGGAAGTCCAGACATTGATTACACTCATTCCGATGAGGTAACTATCCACTGGCATGATTTCATCGACCACGAAAGTGGCATAAAGTTATATAAAGTTATATAAAGTGGCTCTAGGAAGGGAATTTTATAGTCAAATTAAAGACTTTTTGACTAGGAAACACGACGGTGTTTATATATATGAAACTAATCATGATTCCATTAAAATAAAATTTCAGAACGGGGAGGGGCAGTATTTAGTTTCAATAATAGCTTACAATAATGCAATGACTCCATCAATAGTTATCTGTTCTGATGATAATCCTGTACCTATAATAGGGAATGTTTCAGTCAAACACTCCAACATTAAGGAAACAATTGCCTGTGATAGTGGTACTCCTTGGTTTATCACAGACATCTTATCTAAAGTCAAGTTACAAGGAGATGAATGCAGGCAAATATGCATGAACACAACATAGTATCTTAACAATATTGCCTGAGGACATTAGATCGAGAGCTAATTCAAAAACTGTTTCTACGTTTTTGTGTTCCAAACTTGATAGATGCAATCAAAATACAATCGTCACACCTTTTGATCTTTTTGAAATATCCTGGAATATCCAGGAAGATCTTAGTCAAATTGGAAATAGCTATATAGGATTTGGAAGCGATACAAATCAACTTGACTACCCAGCTCTCCTGAATTATCTTAACATTCTGCATCCTACACAATTCAATCAGCACCATCCCGGTTTGATTGGAGAGCAAAATATCTACATATTTATTAAGGTCCTTAATAGAGCTGGTCTTGATACGAAAGTCTGGTTCGGACCTGTTATTGCCGACGAAACACCACCTGTTTGCCCTTCTACTGTACATGCTTTTTTTGAGAACGATAAGTATGTGGTTATCAATTGGACACGTAGTAATTTGTTTGATACCGAGCAAATAGATGAAATTGGAAAGATAATGTTCAGATTTGGTATGTTTGGTTCGATTTGATTAATATTGATATGATATAAGTTTTGTATTTGTCAAATTAATTCTTAACGCAATTTTTAACGTTGATGATTTCATTTGAATTTAAGAAATTGTTCTCCCACTTAGTATCC